GGGGTTTAAATGTACACCCCATTGTTGCAGTGGACCTGACTTGTGCCACGGCTGCCCCACACTGCTGGCAAGGCTCAAAATTAGAGCCCACAGAGATCTTATCTCTCATATGGAGGAAGTCTGGAACCCATGTACCCCAATTGCTCTAGTGTTCACTTGTGTTCTGGGCCATATCAAGGAGGGTCCAGCAATGATTCCATGGAGCTCCCCATTTATGACTGATTTGGTCTTCCCCTACTCTGTCTTATAACAAACAATTTGATGTAATTTACATGTCATGTCAAAGATGAGAGCTGTTCAGAGGAGGCCTCACAAACATCAACACTATCAAAGACTGGTGCAGGGTTACAGTCTCTGATGCACAAAAACTGAATGTTGCAGACTTAGCTGGAGATAAAAAAAAAAGAATTATTACTCTTATATAGAGTAATACTAGTTATAAAGACAGTTCAATCATTTTCCTCCCAGAAATGGACTATACACAGGTGTGACCTGTATTCTGGCTTTCATGGTAATTAAGCTCAAAATAGGCCTGGTTACTCAGACACAATCAACATTTGTTATTTCAGAGGATAAAGACTACAACAGATCACTGGATGACAAAATCTTTCTTTGTGATGAAGCAATCTTTAGGAGTTTGATGTGGTGCCACATCATTTACATCCTCTTTTAAATCCGAGTACCTTGAAATGTCTGTCTCAGATCAAATCCTACATAAAACAACAACAATTATAGTCCAATAAAAACATTCACATTTAAATCAGGGAGTTAAAAAAAAGGAGAGCTGCTTTTAACTGGAACAAATCCCACCAGTCTGTCAGTCTCCTGTGTGAACCACCATCAAAGACATTAGGCTTTTTCCTGCGAACACAGCCACACTAATGGTGCAGCTAATCAGATATCTGCACCCCAGATGTTCCTGTGCATCCAGGGATCTTTTTGGCTCCAAACACCCTCCTCAAATCTCTGTCTGTTCCCTCTTAAACTGTGCCAAGTATTTCCCACTTAGAAGGTGTTAAATAGAGAGCCGGACAAATGTGTGTGTGTGTGTGTGTGTGTGTGTGTGTGTGTGTGTGTGTGTGTGTGTGTGTGTGCGTATGTGTCTGTGAGTGATGGGAGTAACAGAGAGTTATATATATATATATATATATATATATATATACTGTATATATATTTATACTCTATATATCTAAATGTGGATGATCCATGTGATCTTAAAGGTCAGTAGTCAGTGATTGGCCCCCTGCCCTCAAGTTCCCTTGGGACATAGCCAGTCACATTAGTAGTTTGGTGTTCCTCCAGAAAGCAATGGACCAGATGAATTGTTGTTTGACCTGACAGTCATTCAAAGGGGCCAAAGTGTGGAAATGACTTGGAAATCCACCAGCTACCCAGTTCAAAAAGCGAATAGCGAACTGTGCCCTTTGATAGCATAAAGAAATCTCTGCATCTGCAAATCATTGCAAAGGAATATCAGCAAGGATTTAACAGATGGTACGATGAAGTGGACATCTGAGTCCAACATTCACTCAAGCAAGCATTTTAAAATGTTTTTCACTGAGGCTTTCTATAGAGACTGAGACATTAAGGGAGCGTTCAAGGGATTATTCCAAGAGGAGTTAAATTCAATTTCTCTGTTCAACCTCTAAAAAGGAAGTCTATGCATGCCAAAGACAGTGACAGTCAGTGTGTCGTATAATTTTTGAAAAGTACCTTGAAACTTTATTGCTCATATTTTTCATATAGACAGTATGTATCTGTCAGTCAAGTTTGATGTAAAGGGTTATTCTGCACAAAAACAAGTATGCATGAAAGAATCAAAAACCTGTAGTTTTCACACTGATGTTTTTATTCTGGAGCCCTGCTTTAGCCTCTTCCACCACTCTAGTCAATCTTTGATCAGGATGTGTCCTTCCTTCAGGGTAGTCTGATCTGCATTTATAAAAGATAAGCCTATAAAGAAATCAATGTTCTATCTCAGATACATGAAAAAAGAGTTCATGCACTGACCTCCACTTCTGTTAGATTCCTACAGCCTGAAGATCTAATCTAAAGATGATGAGGATGATGCTTTTGTGAGACTGGGAGAAATTTATACAACTTAACACTGGATTTTGTGTTAAAAACTTAATCAGGACACCTTGCTCTTACTAACTGTGATTAACCAACAAAGTAAGAAGTTTGATACGATGATGGGGCACTTGAGGCTCAGTGGTAGAGTGGGTCATCTTAATTTCAATCAGAGGTTTGGGGATTCAATCTGGGGTCCTGCTACCCCCCCATGCTGAAAACACCCAGTCCCATATTGCACCTGGTGGTTGTGTTGGCAGTGTGAAAAACTGATGAGTCAACATTGATGAGTGTTTCAGCAGCATTAGTTTATGAATGTGGTGTGAATGGGTGAGTGTGACGGTAAAAGGCTTTGAGTGGTCAGAAGACTGAAGAGAGGAAATGGATCCTGTGTCGTTTTTGACCCACTTATTGCTGCTTGGGCAAGAAACACAAAAACACAAAGATACGAATCCTGTCAAGCTGTCCAATTCGCTCAACAGATGCAGCATCAGACAAAAAAAAATATATATAAATTTCTCCTTAACGGTAAAAGGTAAGACGACTGAACAGACATTACATACAAATGTAAAGCATGATCACAGTCTGAAGTTTAGTGAAGTTTACACCAAACTGACTTACAGAAAGGACAAGGAGGACTCTGCTGACTGTGCTGGCCTTGTAGATATACATCAAAACAGTAAAAAAAATAAGAACTTTTTCTCCACCTCTCACACCATATATTATAGTATGACATATGCATTATATAAAGACAAGTTAAACATCCAGTTAAATGATTAGACAGCTCCATAACCCTGAACTCTCTCTCTCTCCTCCCTCTCGGTGCAGCAGGATGCACTGTCTCTGGGTGTATTAATGGTCCAGTAGATAAATGAATACATATTAAATGTAATTTGTTGGATAACACAGTTAGTGCTTTTGTTTTTATTACTTGTAAATGTAAATTAATGTCAATTGCAAATGGCTGTTTGGAGCATTTGTGGCTAGCAGAAAACAGTCCAGCCTAAACTCTATCACAGAGACTGTACAGGTATAGTCCTATTCCTGGGAACTTAGAGACAGGTGACGGTCTTTAAAGTCCCAGCACCAGGGGCCTCATGTATCAACGCTTGCGGCGCAAGAAAACCTTGCGTACGCCAAAATCGGCGCACACGTCCAGATTTATCATCGCGAAACGAGCGTCGGTTCCAGCGCTAATCGACGCAAAGTCAGGAGGTGGTGTAGAAATTGGCGTTGAGCCGATACTTGCGTTGACTGTGATTCGCACTTTGGCGACGCTGTGTGGTGGTGTTTGGTGACTCACTATGTGACAAGCGTGCACCACATCCCCGTGGCCGAGCAGCACGTTGCCCCACATTACGAACCAGCAGCAGACGGAGGGACGCGAGCTGATCCCTGCCGGGCCGCCGTCCTCGCGCGGGAGAATCTCATCGCCACAGTGTGAATGGGTAAGAAGTGAATACACAGTTCAATGAGCCAAATTAATTTATTTTCTCCACCAGACGCTCGAGGACATTTACGAGCCGGTCCAGCCTCTCGTTGATCCCCGTGATCCCCCTGATGATTTCTTCCTGCGATTGCAGGACCCCCTCCGCGAGGACCCTTCCACTGCGTCCGGGTGGTCCAGCGGAAGCGCCGCGGCTGGTGGACACTCCACCGCTTGTCGGCGCGCTGATGCTGGTGCTCGGGCCGGGGGCCGGGGTGGCCCGAATGCCGCTGGTCCTGGCCGACGACTCCGAGCCGGCGGACGGGCTGCCGCGGGCCGGGGTTCCGCAAGCCGGCGACACGGCCGACACATTGATTTCTGTGACACAATAAAAATATTAGTTCATTTCAATTCCTGCTTCTGTGTATCTGTTGCGTTTACATCTCTCTCCACGGTATCATAGGTAATGTAATCCAGTATTTCGAGGTCAGTTATGCACATTACAGTTGTTTATTGCATAAAAAGTTATCGAAAAATGAAGTTAAGGGCGAAGTATAATTCACGTCTAAAAATAGACTGAATCCCGACGTTGAAATGAAGTATAAACTTAGACTAGACGTCTAATATACGTCTTTTGCTCAGTGGGATGACAAAGCACGCCACTTACCCTATAATAATAATCGCCACCACCCGCTGCTCAAACGGTGTGAGGGTCTCCTCCCCCGGACCCCCACCTGTCTGGCCGGTACTCCTCCGGAGGACAGCTGTACGCCGCTTGAGGTCCGACCACTTTTTTTTAATCTCCGCGGGGGTGCGTGTCTCGGAACCCACCGCATTCACCCTCTCGCAAACTTTCTCCCACTCCAAGCGTTTTCGTTTTGCACTGACGCCACTGGACAGGCTGCCAAACAAAACACGCTGTCGCTCCTCCACCTCCGCCACCAGCACCTCCACCTCACACGCCGTAAATTTAGTTTTTCTTGTCATTTTGTCTGCGTGCGAGGACAGGGAGACCCCATTTAAATAAATCTGCATATTTATAGGAGGGCGTAACGGGGACGGGCCCAGTCACCCCGACATCTGCGCTCAATTCCACGCGGATTTATCAAGGAAACACGCGTGGATTTCGGCGCCCGCACACATTGATACATACAGATTTTTTTCAGCATGACGGACCTTGCGTGCGCTCGTTTCTGGTATGAGTTCCACGCAAGTGTTGATACATGAGGCCCCAGGTGAGTCTGATTGTCACTCAGTGACTTCACCTGGGCAGCTATAGGGAGACAAAAGGGGGAAAACACACATATAATAATACATATAACACACAAATAGTAAATGAATGCCACATGTGTGTCTCTATATGATGCAGGTAATCTTGTCCAGGGCTGTCTGAGCCTGAGCTGTGTGAGTGACGGCCATTGGGGGACTGTGGAGGGCACTGAACTCTGTACATGGCAACAGGGCCCAGTGTGAGCGCCCCTCGTACAACCCCACTGCAAACATACTGTAGCAAACCACTTTTTGGTTTTATGTATTGCTGTTTATCATTTTGGCCACAAGAGGACAGCCTTATACTGTTAAAATGGTTAAATAAGTTAAAATCTTAAAAACAAACAGTTAAGCTACTTTCAATGCATTTTTACGTGATTCGAGAGTATTAAATTATAGTTCATGATTTGAGTTTGTTATAAGAAAATGTAATTTATGTGTTTTATATGTATATTGCTCATTTTGGAGCTTATGTTATTGTGAGCTTTTATTTTGAAGAGATTGCTAACCAATGTGTCACTTCCTCCTTGCTGTTTTGTGCGGGTAAAAAGGAAACAAAAGGACGGTCACAGTATGAATGAGCTAAGGTAACGGTGAAAGTAAAAGAGTTTACGGTAAAGGAAAATAAAGTAATAAATCTACGTTAACTAAAGAGTGAAGCAACGAAGAAGGTATAGCTACCCCCGAGGAGGCACAAGGTTAGTTAGAGAGTGTGTATGTTACGGTTTACATTACATTACTGTGCTAAAGCTAAGCCAATTTTCTCTCACCTTCGGTGAAGCTATTAGGTAATGGTGCATTGTGTAAACAGAAATGTAATTTCATTTTTTGTGTTTTGTTAGTTCTCACGGTGAATTTCATGGAGCTGATTTATGGAAAGGTTTATGAAAATAAAGACAGTTTCAAGAAATCATCAGTCGAGTCCACCAATCTGTCGGAGGGTACGCTACAGTGAGAACTTACCCCAGCGAGACTCCAGTGACTATTCTACCACATGCATCGCCACTTCATCTGTGAACTCCACGGTTAAGCAGCACAACACGGAGCAACGCTGCAGCATCCTATGGTAAAGTGATGGCTCAAGGGACGGTACAGACTACCAATACAGTAAAAATGGATGCCTTGAAGGAACAGATAAATACTTTACAAGCAGAAATTGAAGAAAATAGAGGATTGCTAAATCCAAGGGATGAAGAAGGCTTGTCATGGCAGGAAATTAAGGAGCTCACTGAAACCAAAAATAAACAACTTATTGAGCTGCAACATGAAATGAATGACACTGAGGAAATAAAAATACCACGTCATTCAGAACGCAAAACTGTACCCACAGAGAAGTTTCTTGCCTATCAAAGGGAGGAACAAAGTAAAAAGGAAAGGAGACTGCTTAATCTTTATGAACAATGGAAAACTCAAATCAGATCAACCAAAGAAAATCTAAAGCAAAACACAACAGATGTGGAACTGGCTAAAATGGCAGACACTGTTGAAAACAGAAAGGATGGCATCATGAAAATTTACAACGAAATGAGACAGGGTGCCACTCCATGTGCTAATTTAAGACGCAAAATAGATGCTTGTGAGGCAGTCACCAATGACATTATGAAAATAATAAATGAACGATTATCAGGAATAGACGATGTTTTTGATGCAGAGCGTGAAAAGCGCAAACTCCGTGAGCTTCATGCTCATAACTACGCTCACTCCATATATGGGACTGCTTCTCAGTCAGCTAGTTACTTCTCAGAAGCATCAGTCATGGCTGCAAAGAGAGCGGAAGCAGCTGCAGAGCTCGCAGCAAAAGAAGCTCAATGTAAACTAATGGAGGAAGAAAGAAAGCAGAAGGAAAAAATAAGGATGATGGAGTCTGAATTAGAGCGTTTGCAAGCAGAAAGGGACAGAGAAGTAGCACGTGTCAGACTGGAAAGCTACGACAGAGAAATCAGACAAGAAACTGACAGTCAGCCCTTACAGCAAATGAACAGTCTGCCTACACAGCAACAAGACAGCAGATACAACAGGCAGAGCCCCGCCATCCCCTTTGTGTATCACCCAAACCCTTCCATAGTCCCACCAAATCCCCCCACTGACATCTCCTCTCTAGCCCAAGCGATCCAAGACAGCATAACCATTAACAGACTCCCCATGCCAATGCCCACGGTGTTTGGAGGAGACCCCATCCACTACATTGAATGGAGAGCTTCGTTCATGTCACTGATAGATAAAAAAGGCATCTCATCAGCCGACAAACTTTATTATCTAAAGAAATATGTCAGTGGCCCTGCTCACAAATGTATTGAAGGCACCTTTTATCGAGATGATGATGAAGCATACAGAGATGCATGGAATAAGCTCAACCAACGCTATGGGCAGCCGTTTGTGATTCAAAGAGCCTTCAGGGACAAGCTGTCAAAATGGCCGAAAGTGCAAACCAAAGATGCTGAAGGATTAAGAACCTTCTCTGATTTCCTAAATGCCTGTCTCCAAGCCATGCCTCATGTGAAAGGCTTAGAAATATTGAGTGACTGTGAAGAGAATCAAAAGCTGACACAGAAAGTTCCAGACTGGCTAGCAGCACGCTGGAACCGTCATGTCTCAATAGCTCTCATGGAAGGTAGAGACTTCCCCACTTTTGAAGATTTTGCCAACTTTGTGTCAGTAGAAGCGGAGATAGCATGTAATCCAATCACTTCCTTGCATGCTCTGCACTCATCTAGCTCATCCTACGTCAAAAGAAGCACAAATGAAATAAAGGGAAACAAAGTAAGTGTCTTCAGCACTCAAACAAATGCAAACACTGAAAAAATGAGAGCAAACCATGGAAAAGAACGGCCTCCCTGCATGTGGTGCAAAGATGATAAGCATCAACTGTCCAAGTGCTCAGTGTTCAAAGAAAATTCCCTCGAAGAACGACGAACATTCATAAAAGACAATAAACTGTGTTATGGATGTGTCAAGCCAGGTCACAGCGCTAAGGAATGTCGTCACCGTCACACTTGTGATCTGTGCAAGGGAAGGCATCCCACCTGTCTACATGATGAACATTACAAAGGGCATGAGGAGAAAGACAGACCTGTAAACAAAGAAAGAAAGAAATCTACAGTAAATGTGAACACAACTACAAATGAAATTGTGACAGCTAGCCCACTCTGTGTCACTAAAGAGGGTCAGTCATACAGCACTTCCATGATCGTCCCTGTGTGGATCTCGTCTGCCTCCCAGCCAACTAAAGAGCAGCTCGTCTACGCACTGTTGGACACCCAGAGCGACAGCACCTTCATTGAGAGAGAAGTAAGTGATGAGTTACAACCAAACACTTTCCCAGTACATCTGAAACTCACTACTATGTTGGGAGAGAGCATGATAATGAAAAGTGAAAGAGTGGAGGGACTTCGTGTCAGAGGCTACAATTCAGGCATTTACATTGATCTCCCCCCTTCATACACCAAAGACTGTATCCCCATGAACCGCGACAACATACCTACCCATCAAACAGCGAAACAATGGCCTCATCTAGCTGCAATCACAGATCAGATACCACCTCTCCTCAGCTGTGATGTGGGACTCCTCATTGGGTATAACTGTCCGAGAGCTATAAAGCCCAGACAAATGATTGATGGAGCAGACAATGAGCCCTACGCCGTCCTCACAGACTTGGGGTGGAGCATTGTGGGTTGCTCTACACCTGGCCTTAATGAAAGACAGTCCAGCTTGTGTCACAGAGTCATGCTAAAGGAACTTCCTCCAGTAACACCGATGGATGTGATAAGCGTCCTGGAGTCAGACTTCAAAGACACAAAAGGAGATGACAAAACTGTCTCACAAGAGGACCTCATGTTCTTGAGCAAACTCAAAGATGGTATAAAAAAGAATGCCCAGGGTCATTATGAGATGCCTCTTCCATTCAAACAACGGCCCTCTCTACCTGACAACAAAAGGCTCGCTGAAATCAGGCTCAATCATCTACGGCGTAAGTTCAGCAGGGATGAAAATTACAAGAGAGACTACACAACATACATGAAGGAGATCATAGAGAGAGGTGATGTGGAAGAGGTGCCTACAGATGGAGTTCAAGGTGAGCGATGGTATATTCCACATCATGGGGTATATCACCCTCAGAAGCCTGACAAACTGCGCATTGTGTTTGACTGTTCAGCAAAATATTCTGGCACAAGCTTAAATGAACACCTGCTCCCAGGGCCAGACATGATCAATAACCTAACAGGCATTCTCATAAGGTTCAGACAATATCCCATTGCTCTTCTATGTGACATTGAGAAAATGTTTCACCAATTTCATGTCCAAGAGGAAGACCGCAACTACCTCCGGTTCCTCTGGTGGAAGGATGGAGATACAACAACACAACCACAGGAGTACCGCATGAAAGTACACCTTTTTGGTGCAGTGTCATCCCCTGGGTGCGCGAACTATGGACTAAAACATTTAGCCAAAGAACACAGCCACTCACACCCAGTAGGAGCACAGTTTGTTGCAAAGGACTTTTATGTAGACGACGGAGTGACAAGCACGGACAATGTGGAAAAAGCCATACAGTTGGCACAGGAAGCAAGGGAGATATGCAGCAAAGGTGGTCTCCGCCTCCACAAATTTGTGTCAAATAACCATGCTGTATTGCAGAGCCTGCCCCCATCAGAGTGTATGACAGAGACAAAGACAAAGGACTTAACATTCAATGACACACTGGAACGAGCTCTAGGAATACAATGGAGCATAAAGGAGGACAGCTTCAAATTCAAGAACACCTTAAAGGACCAACCCGCCACACGGAGAGGCATATTATCTTCTGTCGCTTCCATATATGACCCTCTCGGCTTTCTTGCACCATACGTCCTCAACGGAAAGAGAATCCTCCAAGAGATGTGCAACCAGGGCACTGGTTGGGATGAGCCCCTGCCAGAGAGGCTAAAACCACGGTGGGAGAGTTGGCAACATGATTTCACCAACCTACAGAAAATAAACATCCCTCGATGTTACTTACCTGCTAACTTTGGAGAAGTTGTGGAAACTGAATTACACCACTTCTCAGATGCGAGCACAAGCGGATACGGACAATGCTCTTATCTGAGAGTCAAGAACAAAGAAGGAGAGATTCATTGCTCACTAGTGATAGGAAAAGCCCGTGTTTCTCCAACAAAAGTGACTACAATACCACGGCTGGAATTAACTGCAGCAGTAGTTTCAGTCTCCATCAGTAACATGCTTCGAGAAGAATTGAGAATTGTTGATGGAAAAGAATACTTTTGGACCGATTCAAAGGTGGTGTTAGGCTACATAAATAATGATGCACGGCGATTTCACACTTTTGTCGCCAACCGGGTCCAGAAGATTCGCCACTGTACAAACCCACAGCAATGGTGCTATGTCCCCACAGATGAGAATCCAGCAGATGGAGCATCCCGAGGTAAAACTGTAAGTGAACTACTTGCATCTGACTGGTTCACTGGCCCCAAGTTTCTATGGGAAAAGGAGTTACCCATTGAAAATGATGTAGTGCCAGACCTGTTCATCGGAGATCCAGAAGTCAAAAAGGCACAAGCCCTGCACACAAAAACCACAGAAACAATGAGTCTTGTCGACCGCCTGTCCAAGTTCTCATCATGGTCTCGAGCTACCAGAGCCATAGCCCGTCTGCTTCGACGAGTTAAAAAGATCAGATCACCTGCTCTAACAACAGTGAGCGAAAGAGAAAGTGCTGAGCATGTCATAATCCTGGATCTGCAAAGACAAGCATATGAGGAGGAGATCAAATCATTGAGCAAAGGTAATCAACTACAACGTTGCAACAAATTACACCATCTTGATGTATTCCTCGACACAGACGGTCTCCTCAAGGTGGGAGGACGACTCCGCCACTCGTCACTCACTGACTCCTTCAAGCATCCAGTTGTCATTCCTAAAGAGCACCATGTGACAAAGTTGATAATAGCTCACAACCATGAAAAGACAAAACATCAAGGAAAAGGATTCACAATAAATGAAATCAGAGCCAGTGGATATTGGATTCCTGGAATGAGCAGAGCAGTAGCATCACACATCCATCAGTGTGTGATCTGTCGTAAACTCAGGAGAACTGCAGAGGGTCAAAGAATGAGTGACTTACCTGTTGAACGCGTCGAGCCCTCCCCTCCTTTCACTTATTGTGGTATGGATTGCTTTGGCCCTTTCACAACTGCACAAGGAAGAAAACAGCATAAACGATACGGCCTGCTCTTTACTTGTTTTTGCTCACGAGCCATTCACATCGAAATGTTGGAGGATATGTCAACTGATGCCTTCATCAACGCCCTGCGATGCTTCATTGCTCTTCGTGGTGCAGTCCGTCAAATACAGTGTGATCAGGGCACCAATTTTGTTGGCGCCAAGAATGAATTCAAGACAGCTTTACAAGAGCTTGACACACAGAGACTGAACACATTCTTGTCACAAAAACAGTGTGATTTCATTATGAACGCACCTCACTCCAGTCATGCAGGGGGCGTGTGGGAACGCCAGATAAAGACTGTCAGAAGTGTTCTGAGCTCTACCCTGTCTCTTTCTCAAGGCAGGCTCAATGATGCTTCATTAAGGACTGTGCTGTACGAAGCTATGGCCATCGTCAACAGTCGACCACTCACTGTGGATAACTTGAACTGCCCCGACAGCCTCGAACCTCTCACCCCCAATCATCTCCTCAACATGAAGTCCAGTACAGCACTCCCTCCACCAGGCACATTCCCTAAAGAGGATCTGTATGGAGCAAAAAGATGGCGTCGTGTTCAGTTTTTATTGGAACAGTTTTGGTGTAGATGGAAACAAGAATATCTACACAATATCACCACAAGGCAACGCTGGCACACGCCGAGAAGAAATCTGATGGTGGGTGATATAGTGATGGACAAAGATGAACTATTACCCAGAGGCGAATGGAGACTTGCAAGAGTCATAGAGACTGTCAGCGGCAAGGATGGGCTTGTAAGAAGAGTGAAAATCTCAGTGGGAGATAAGAATCTGAGCCAGAAGGGTGAGCGTCTTGCCAAACCTTCAATATTGGAACGCCCAGTGCAGAAGTTAGTTCTGCTTTTTGAAGCGTCTTAAGCTGTGGATACACAAAGACAATGGCACTCTTATTGAGAAAATTATTCTTAGTTCACACTCAGTGTTTAATGTGGAACACAAATAATTTTGGTGGGAGTGTAGCAAACCACTTTTTGGTTTTATGTATTGCTGTTTATCATTTTGGCCACAAGAGGACAGCCTTATACTGTTAAAATGGTTAAATAAGTTAAAATCTTAAAAACAAACAGTTAAGCTACTTTCAATGCATTTTTACATGATTCGAGAGTATTAAATTATAGTTCATGATTTGAGTTTGTTATAAGAAAATGTAATTTATGTGTTTTATATGTATATTGCTCATTTTGGAGCTTATGTTATTGTGAGCTTTTATTTTGAAGAGATTGCTAACCAATGTGTCACTTCCTCCTTGCTGTTTTGTGCGGGTAAAAGGAAACAAAAGGACGGTCACAGTATGAATGAGCTAAGGTAACGGTGAAAGTAAAAGAGTTTACGGTAAAGGAAAATAAAGTAATAAATCTACGTTAACTAAAGAGTGAAGCAACGAAGAAGGTATAGCTACCCCCCGAGGAGGCACAAGGTTAGTTAGAGAGTGTGTATGTTACGGTTTACATTACATTACTGTGCTAAAGCTAAGCCAATTTTCTCTCACCTTCGGTGAAGCTATTAGGTAATGGTGCATTGTGTAAACAGAAATGTAATTTCATTTTTTGTGTTTTGTTAGTTCTCACGGTGAATTTCATGGAGCTGATTTATGGAAAGGTTTATGAAAATAAAGACAGTTTCAAGAAATCATCAGTCGAGTCCACCAATCTGTCGGAGGGTACGCTACACATACCATACAATCCTTTTAATGTCTTCCTCATTTCATAATGTGAGATGACGAACAAGTAATGTAGCTTCAAGTATGCCACCAAGGCATTACCACAGCACCCATTCCGTTATACCAGAGGTTATCACTTGATTCTGGTGCCAGAAGCATCAGCTGTAAGTCCCTTCAGTCTGTTTCATTTTGGTCTGAGCGTTGTCTTCTGCCATGACCAATATTCAGGGGTGGCCACACCTGTCTTTTTGTCTTCAACTCCTTCTCAACTGGATTTTAAATCCACCTCTTTTGGAGGTTATTAACAGTTCAGTCTAAGGGTGCATTCACACCAGGACTGTTTGGTTAGTTCTAAAAGGAGCATGGTCCCCTTACTCCTTTGGTCAGGGTGGTATGAATGTGCATGCAATCTGGTGGTCCAGATCAAACAAATGGACCATGGTCCTCTTGAAAATGTCGAACTCGGTCCCCTTCCAGATGAACCACGGTCCGGTCTGTGGTGCTGATGAAGCTGGATTTTTTCATATGTCAATATAAACCAATATCACATTAACACTGTGATAAATCTGGGAAATTATGCCGGCCAGAGGTTGCAGCAGAAGGGAGAACAGCGACTGTCCATAGAACTGGACGAATGGCAGAGAGGGTTTGCAGAACTAAGTACACCAGTACAACTCTTAATCAACTGCTCTCTATCTTTCAGCACTCTCACTCATGCATATACACACACATTAACCCTTGTCTCTCAGTCACTCTCCCCGCCCCCTCGTTCTCACATCTGATCATATACCCCAACCATTCACATTTACTGACTATCAGAAAACACATAACACCAAACAACAGAACCACCACATTATTGCTGGGTTGCTATAATATTAAATATGTCTGTTCAACAAATCCGCTGACAATGTGTTATAGGTCCCTGATCCGGACCTTGGAAGGGGACTTTGGGTGAGAAAGGCCCTTAAGTGGTGAAGTGTCCCCCCTGTTGGTGAAGTACATGCAGTACATGGATTTCTGACACCCCCTTCTATGAATTTCTCTGCGTTCATTACCACCTCCAAACCTGTATACCCTCTGTTGTGAAGTGTGCCATCTTTATCGATTGATCGATCAATCAATCAATCAATCAATCACTCAATCAACCAACCAACCAATCAATCAATCAATCAATCAATCAATCAATCAAATTAGATTTATATAGCGCCAGTTCACAACAGTCGTCATCCCAAGACGCTCTTCAAAGAAAAAGAGAAGGTCTAGACCACGCTCATTGTTTGATGAATTATTAAGACCCGAACCTTGAGATGGGACCAATTTGATCCATCTCATCTAACATGAGTGACAGTGGGAAAGAAAAAACTTCCTTTTAACAGGCATAAACTTTGGGAAGGACCAGACTCATTCTAGACAGCCACCAAGCCACTGCTGGGTTGGGGAGAAATACAGAGAGATGGAGGGAGAAAGAGAGAGAGAGAGAGGAGAAGAGAGAGGGCAGGGGGAGAGAAAGAGAACAAGGGAGGAGGAAGTAGAGAGGATGAGTAAGGGAGAGTGAGGGAGAGAGAATAGAGAATGAGGGTGAGAGAGAGACAGGGGACAGCATCAACACTGGAACAACAGCAACAAAAACAACAGCTCATGCAATGATGAAATAATATGAATTCAGTTTATAGGATTAGGATATAAGTAATTATGGACTGTGTCTTTAAGAAGTGTGATAAACTGTACTTGGGACAGAGTTACAGCTCAGTTCAGGGCAATATGAGTGTCATTTTTACAATGTTAAAGCCAAACATCTTCATGTTCTCACATCCGCTTTGGCCAGGAGCAAAAAACTTGAAAAATACACACGATGTTCTCACAAGATCACTAAATACCTTATTTAAGAACACACAGTGAATAAAGGCACTGATACACAAACATACATAGAGAAGTAGCACATGTGCACACACACAATCTGCTCCCTAAGCAAATCTGAAGTGACACCTCCGCCTGTGCATGCCAGGAACATGCAGAGAGCGCACTGGAGAGAGAGGGAGAAGGACTGGGAGAGAGACAGCAGGTATGGACGCAGCGTTACATGCCTGCCAGCACATGCCAAGATTGTGTAATTCCCATGCCAAGTGTAAAGGATAAATACAAGATAAATGGGAGACAAGCTGAGAAAAGTCTGAGTAAGAGGGATATGTTTTTGCCTAGTATTACTAAATTCAATGATGAAAAATTCAGTTCATATACAGAAACAAGCTGACAAGTCATTGTATGCATAAAACAAGTTGTTTATTCGATCTTTATGTTCAGGCTACAAATCACTATTTTCTGTCTAATGCACTGTAAAGTACAGAGACTGCAGTAAGAAAGCTTCTTGAGTGCTAATGTTGATAATACAATAACAAAAGTTTTACCTGCAGCAGTCTCGGGATACCTTTGTTATTCTTTAGTAATTGTGATGGTATAATTCGACCTTTGCTTCTTCAAGAGAGTCAAGTAATGGGTATTCACACATTGTTAGAAAAAACACTGAGCACTAAAGACCTCTGAAAATAATAGGAAGAGGCATTTCAACCAGAAACTGTACTGGGCGAAGTATAACAACATCAACCAGTCAACCTTTATAGACAAATCACAAACTCATATACGGTTTTTACAAAAAAATCAGCTCCAGACTGAGCTCTGTCCAATTATTTACAGACCCAATGTTAAGATGAGAATCTGTGTGAATCACTCCGCAGCAGATACAGCTAAGTTACAGCTGCGGGGAAATCAACAGGCAGAAACCTTGTGCAGAACCAGAATCATGTTGAACAGCCATGTTACTTTATTACCCAGACAACTGTCCTGATCTGAATCCATTAACTGTCCAGAGGATGAGAAAAACTCAACCCAAAAACCCAAGGGGAAATAAAAATACAAATATTAATAGAATAATAAAAACAAGAATAAAACTAGAATAAATAAGTAATAAAAATCAAAAGTTAAAACAGTTAGCACAAAACAATAAATAATATTTTGTGTTAAAGGAGACCCAAACAAAATGTTGTGTTGAGATTAAGGTTCTAGTCAAATGTCAAATATTTTTGTATTTTAAATCTTTCCTTGATTGATCTAAAAAGAAACATGTTCAAACAATCTGAGAAACCAAGAAGTCTAATTTTCATGAGCTTCAAGGAAAAATCTTAGTTAAAACAGAAAAAGACTAGAAGTATTTAGTTTTACTGGTTGCGAATGCAGGAATATATGAAAGTTAAATTTTGAATTGATCACATAGTAAACTTTGCCATGATATTCTGATGCTTTGAGTTCTCTTGTTAAGAATATCAGGCCAGCAGACCATCTGCAGCCACAGTGCACAAGAGCCTACCCAGTGTAATTAACATAGTCTGATAGGGGGTAGACTCAGCTGCTTAGTTGTAACAGTAGCAAATCAAAGTGCACCTGGGTTACCTGAAGTAATCATCGCCATTGTGCCCCGAGACAATCATATATCTGTAAACAGATAGCCAAAGGAGAGTTAGCAGAAATATGTATTATTATTATTTTTCTCAAAATAATCTTGAAGGTCTCATTTTTCATGGCATAATTGTGAATTCTAGTGTAGTCTTAAATATAACCGCAAAAATAATTTAAATTTCACATCCTAAAATGCATCAGTAAAAGGTCTGGCACTTTTGTTTTTTCCCAACTTGAAATACTATTTACCTAAGATATTGAGCGTCCATAACTTAATATGTGGGATAGGTGACTGGTCCTTTTACAGCAGCCCGAATATTCTCACTAGGAGCTGCCAGGCCAAAGCCCCCTTTCCTCTACCCAGAGGAGCTGTTATTCCACAGCATTTCACATTTAATAAATGCTGGTCAATGGGTTTACTCAAAGGAGTCTTGAGAGGAGCTCTTAAGGAAAGGGAGCTGTTATATCTCAAATGGTCCTAGAGTTAGTAGGACCATTAGAAACTACTGCATTACATAAATTAATTATTATCCAGTATAAAAGACGTAAGATTTTAAACAGCTTGCCTTTGACACTTACGGCTCTATTTTCGTGTCTGCCGGCGATGTGGCGGAGGGTGGCGGACCCCACGCAGTGGTATTTTCGTCTGTCAGAGCCCGGCGTACAGCAAATTTGGTATTTTCGTGGACTGAGGCGCACCGAGGTCCGCCAAGCTGGGCGTGGCAGGGGGAGGTGTCGACAGAATCAGCAGGCGCAGTGACATTTTCGTGCTTGCCGCTGGCGTGTTAAGTGTGCTGAAAGCTCGCCTGGTCAGCTTTCAGTGCAGGCGGAGCACAGCTGGTCTAGTGGTATTTTGGTAGACCGGCGGCGTATCGGCATACGTCACCGATGCCTCACCGGCAGGTTTCCACAGTGTCAGGCACATTTCAGTGCAATAAATAATCATCAACAACTATTAATCTGAGTCAGCACATACATTTAGATCTATATCGAAATATTCTGATCTATATCTGATCTGATGAGTGCGTTTGGCACGCGTTTGGACACACAACCTAACCGAATCAACACAGCTGAAACCGCATTAAATTAAATATCTAGTAAATAAACACACATGATGAAGTTAACAAGATATGTAATTCGTCTCCCTCCTTTTCTTTCTTCCTCCTCCTCTTATTTCTTGCGCAGCCAGACCCGGACATGTCTGGACATACGAATATTATAATATTCAGTTTTGTGAGCCAAATTTATTTCACATGCCAACATCTATGAAAGACAGAGCCAGGCCATGGAGTGCGATGTGTCATTTACGCACAGATGGTTACGATTTTAATGCCATTATTGGAATTTATGAAGTGATCTGTGCGCACAACCCACCTTTGTCACGTGAGGTTTGAATATATGCAACTTAATGTGAGTGTCTTTATTTGTGGAAAAGGGTGTTTGTCTTACCAGTGGGTCCAACATTACACACACCAAATCCATCTGTGCTTATATGAGAGAGTGTGAAGGACACCCAATGCAGCGCTTACAGCGACACTTGTCGAGGGGCTGCCTTCTGTCGCCATCATGTGGCATTGCTGTCTTCAGACATCTCTTGATCTCTTTGACTACTTCACGAAAATTGTAATACGCCTCGCTGGTGGCAAACTTAAAGGTGAGGAGAGGAGCTTATGTGATTGGTCAATACAGGTCCCAGCTGTGTTAAATCCACTCCATGCCCTCTCTCCTTCCTCCCTACGACTTTCGCCACTGGGAGGAGCTGAGTCAGGGAGGGGGGATACTTACGCTGGGTTGCGCCGCTCACCAAAATACCAAATTGTGCTTGGGAACGCCTTGTCGGCGAGGCGGACCTGACTTACGCCGCGCCTGCGCCACATCGCTGGCG